TTCAGCAGCAAGAGGAGGCACAGCACATGGGGCGGGGGCAGGTGGAGATGACACAGGTAGGGCGATAGCAAGTGGTGTGGCAGGAGACCCGGCCACAGACTGGGCGCAGGCAGCAGGAGGGGCAGCAGGAGGGGCGGCAGCAGCTGGAGCCACAGCAGCTGGAGCCACAGCAGTTGGAACCACAGCAAGAGGGGCGGCAGCAGCTAGAAATGCAGCAGGAGGGGCGGCAGCAGCTGGAGCCACAGCAGCTGGGGTGGCAGCAGGTGGTCTGGCAGCAGGAGGGGCGGCAGCAGCTAGAGATGCAGCAGCTGGGCCTGCAGCAGCTGGAGCCACAGCAATTAGAGCCACAGCAGCTGGAGCCACAGCAGGAGGGGCGGCAGCAGCTGGACACACAGCAGGTGGGCCGGCAGCAGGTGGTCCTGCAGCAGGTGGTCTGGCAGCAGGTGGGGCGGCAGCAAGGCTGGCAGCAGCTGGAGCCACAGCAGCTGGAACCACAACAGGAGTTGACCATGGTGTCAGAGGGTGAAGGTTCTGGGATGGTTTCCAGGAGAGTGAGGGGCTTGAGCTTGAAGTCTCCTTGTGCCATGGCCCCTTATATATGCCCTGAACAGGGTGATTTGTTAACACATCTTCCTTGTTTTTGTTTATCTAATAATTAAGTAATTATCACAGTACACAATAATGTTTGTCTATGTAATGGTTTAAACTTGTGGGAAACAAATTTTCTTTTCTAGATGTGATAAGTTCTATCTGGTCTGCTTTTCCTCCTGACTCATACCTGCTAGCATCTTCCAGACCACACTCTCCTCATCTTCCTTGACAGTGGGCTGTCATGTGATAGGTGGCATTTACAGTTACATTTCTTCAAGTCCCATTTCTTCTAGCAGTGATAGGATCAAGGCAGTTATATTTCTGGTTCTGCATTTCTTCCAATGATCAGTTGGGAAGAAATCCCATCTGCATGGTGTGGCATGGGACAAGAGGAAGAAGCTCTCTTTTGTGGGTCATTTTTGAACAATGAGGAAGGAGACAACTCTATGTGTGTATGACATTGCTGATTTCTGTGCCACTGGAATGGATTTTCTTGGATGTTTCTCCCTTTGGATCTTGTCCTCTGCCCCAAAACCATGGCAGACAATTATCTGTGTGGTCCGCATCACTGCCATGTCCCATCACTCATTACGTTGTTACTTTGCTGTCATGTATATTTGTTTTGTTTTTTCCAGTTGGTCTTTTGATTCTGGAAGACATAGCCTCATTTTTATTCTTATCTCATTCTTAATTAAAATATTCTTCAATGGAGAAAAAATGGGCCCAATAATCAAAATGTGCCTCTCCTCAGAATTTACCTCTATAGCTGGGAAATCTATGGCACACATCTTTTTCCATCCACTTGAAATGTGAATGGATTTTAGTCAATTTAACTTAATTTAGTTACCATTTCTACTTATCCTCTATTTAGTGATGGTCTAACCTGAGCATGCAACACACCATCTGAAGGGCTTATTAAACATGGTTGGGACAAATGCCGAGCCTGAGGTTCGGCATTTCTAGCAAGTACCCAGATGGATGTTGATGCTGAAGACCCAAGGACCACACTTGGAGATACTCCTTTGTTTTGTTCATTCAGGCTTTGAGGAAGTGCCTCTATCAAGTTCCAGCCTGTTTATAAAGCAGATTTGTTGAGTGGGTAATCCAAGATACACGTGTTGCCAGTTCCTGGGGTGACAAATATGGTTTAGGGTCTTCTCCTTGGGAATTTACAGATTACTGTGAAGATCATACGTGCGTATGCACACCCATCCCCCCCCCGCCCCTCTCCCCCATACAACTGTGCAACATCAAAGGAACTCATAGTAGTATAATTTAACTAAAAGAAGAGTGTCTAAGACAAATTAGCCAAGGTGACAGTTTGGTAAAGACATAGATTTATTCATAAATAAATAATTCTAGTTACTGTTTCTTACTTTGTATGATTTGTTTTACATTTTAGGTAAATTTTACATACTCTGAAAGGTACAGATTCTAAGTGTACTATTTGATGAGTTTTGACGAATGGATACACATCCATGTAATCCCCATCCCTATAAGATATAGACGTTTCCATTATATCAGAAAGTTCCCACATATCACTTTAGTAAACTCCCCGCCACCATAGAGACAACAATTGTTTTAGTATTTTTTTTCACTGTAGATTTGTTTTGATGTAGAGCTTCAAACATGATATATAGCATCATTTCTGTCTGGCACCATTTACTTGGCATGTGAATATTATTAATGTTGATACTTGTATCACTAGTTCATTCAGAGCTGTAGTGACAAAGTACCAAAGCTTATTGTAACTACTACCAACCATCCTTGTTTACCTGGGACTTGATGGGGGTTCCAGAACTCAAAACTTTGTTAAACAGGAAAGTCCCAGGGAAACAGAAGCATTGATCACCTTCTGATTAAATATCTTAATTGGGACCATTTGAAGACCAAGACTATTGCAATATGTTTAGCACAATAACTTTCTTAGCAAACACTGATTTACATGTTTTTATTCCATAGGCTTGTGAGGCAAAGCTAGAGAACCTAAGGCATTTAAACAATTCGATTGTGAGGCAACATGGTGTCCCAAGGGGAGAGATTTTCACTTGATTTGCTGTATGGGAGATGCTGGGGAAGAAAAACCATAAAAAGAAAAAAAAAGAGTTCTTAATACCAGGGGAGAGCTTTCTATATAAATCGAGAGAGATTATATATTTGTCATATATGGAAAGGCAGAGTACATTCTCGTTATAGAGAAGTATGCAGAGAATCAGCCCCTAGACCAGTGGTTTGCAAAGTTGGCTGCATAATCGGATCACCTAAGGAGAGATAAAAATTACTGATGCCTGACTTCTGCCCTGAAAAATTCTGATTTTAACTGATCTGGTGTATGGCCTGGGCATCTGAATTTTTTAAGCTCGTGAGGTATAATCTTAAATGCATGGCCAAGTTTTAGACCTCCTTAAACTGTCTATATCACACACACTTGTGTAGTATTAGATTGGGAACAGAAGTAGCTACAATATTAAAATATAATTGGTAACACCTAATTAATAGAATTGTACCGATTTTCAATCACTGAACTTTGAGCAATATCAGACTGAAGCATCGATAATTCTCTTCACTCTTGTAAATCCATCTTATGCCAAACAAAAGTCCTACATGGATAAGAATAAACAATGGGGCATGGACCACAAAGGGAAATTACTATAGACACACACTGAATTTTTTAAAATTGCATATCAAAAGCAAGAGAGACATCACTCTATGTACTCGTTGCTAACAATTTTACCCATAGTCTGGTGAGGTAGAATTGATAATTAACATCAGGACCATGCACACAAATTATGTATGGTCTACCTAAACTTTAGTATTTTATTGCATAGAGTAGAGGGAGTGTAATTTTTTTCTTCATTGTACTTAAAAATTTTAATTGTGTATGTTATATAAATATATGTGTGAATATATATAATATAAAATAATACTTAAAAATTTTTTTGTTGTCTTTTTAGAGTTCCACAAAGTAAAATATGTTAGTTAGGTAAACATCAATGAAATTTGAATGAGGTGGACCCAACTGATGTTTGCACCACCATCGAGGAACCTGTGTTGTACCTTCCAGAGAAACTGATCACATCATATTAATATATCCTTTAAAGAATGGCATGCAAAAAATAAAAGACTTTTCTCATCAGGTAAGACATATGTTAGTACTCATTATTATTTTAATAAATGCCCAGATACCTGGAATGTATTTTGTCTGTAGCTAAAATGTATTACCGCTAGGTAATTGTAGTGACTTAGTTTGTAGAATTATTATCTAAACAGACACTTAAAAAAGGCATGGGTAATTGATAGGAAAGTTAACATGTTTCAAGTCAATTAAGTTATTTTATAATAAAATAAGCTCCATTAAAATATTTAAGGATACACATTAACAATATTGCCAGTCTTGATATAAGGTAGTATGTGTAATTAAAGCAATATTTGAAACCATATAAATGCCTATATACCATTGATTGAATTTCCTTCAGTTCTCTAACTATGGTTGACCCTTGACCAACACAGGGGTTAGAGATGCCATCCCCTGTGCTGTCAAAAGTCTCCACATAACTTTTGATTCCCTGAAAACTACTAAATAAAGTAAACTTTATTTATCAAAAAAATCTGCCTATAAATGGACTCACGTGGTTCAAACCTGTATCATTCAAGGATCAACAGTATGTTCAATCAATGCTTAATCTAATATTTCTTCTTAAATTATAAATAGAGCAAACATTTCAATTCACACTGAATTTATAAAAATTTGTATTATGAAGAACACATACACTGCATGGTGTATAAAAGATACATGTATAATGTAATAAATAATTGTGACACAAACACTATGTACCCAAAGCACAAGTCATGAAAATAAAATGTTGCCTTCACCAAGACCATACATCTCCCTCTTTCCACCCTATAAATGATCACTAACCAGATTTTTAAATTCTCTTTTCATTAACTTTCTTCATGATTTTACCACCTGGATATGCATCCCTAAACAATATAGTTTAGTTTTACTTAGTTTTGAATTTTATATAAAGGAATCTTAAATGTATTTTGATTCTTTCACTGAATATTATGCACATGTATTGAGGCATACTCCAAGAAGGCCCAGTGATTTCCACCTCTTGGTGTTCAGGGTCTCATGTAAGTACCACCCCTTGAATAAATTGCTTCTAAATAACAGGATGTGACAACATCAAGTGACTGAGTTACAAAAGATTGTGACTTTCATCTTAATGCCTACTCTCTCTCTCTGTCTCTCACTGGCTTTCATGAAGCCTGGTGCCATGTGGGAGAGATTCTTGCAGCAAAGAACTGAGCACAATATCCATTCAACAACAAGCAAGGAAGTGAGGTCCTCCCTCCAGTGGCCCTCCAGGATCTGAATCCTGCCAATGACCACATAAGTGAACTGGGAAGTGGATTCTTCCACAGTTGAGACTTCAGGTGAGATCTTAGTGCCAGTTAACTAGCTGAGGACACCCTTGTGAGAGCCCCACTGAGCAGCATCGGGATTCCTGATCCACAGAAACTGTGAGCTAATAACTTTGTGTCATTTAAAGTGGCTAAATAGTGAGGTCATGTTAAGTAAATGCATATCCAGTTCAGGCTTTTCTAGCACTATATTACATACAGGTGAGGAGGAAGGGATCAAAAGGTGCAGAGAAGTACATATGCTAGAATAACACGTAGTCATAAGCCCAAAAAAGCCAACTGGCAGCATATGATCCCGAGTAGGTCAAAGGGGCACTCTCTTTACCGAGGTAATAAGGAATTATCAGGTATGGGGTGCCTATTCTCTGAATACAGAGGTGGTGGAAAGGAATACTGTGAGAGAACTGGCCTCCCGAGGAATAATGGGGATGACATATCTCTGAATAGCAGAAGCCAGGTGGCAGCATTTAACTCTAAGAAATAATGTGGATATAATTATGTGAAAGTCAGCGAGGTTGGAATGACAAAGGGGGCAGAATGACATGTGACCCTCAGGGATCTTCCAATATGGATAATAGAGCATGATGTCCCTTGAAATAGAATGTAGGCAACCAACTAGGGTATAGCTGTACTTGTACCTTAAATTTTGCACCTTAAGTTGTTTACCTTAAACTCTGTACAGCTAGGCAATAAATGAACAAAAAGCTGAGGTCATTGTTCCCAAAGGAAACTGATGATCCCTCATGCAGTTTGCAGATCTGCGCCAGTTCTCAGACCTAGAAGCCATTGACCCATCAAAACAGAGGCCAGTCCTCTAGGATAAAGGACAGCAGCAGGTGTGTATAGTAGAAATGTCTTTAGAATTTTCCCAAATGAATATAGAGCCATTTATGGTGGGGGTGGGGCACTAGAATACTCATGTATTTGGATGCTGTTTGATATGGGATATGAGTTGACCATGAGTGCTAAATACACAAAGTGCCAGCATGGCCCCATTAGAATACATTGATCCAGATGCCATGGTTATAGGAGGGGTTCCTCACTCATCTTCATATCCAGTATTCCATTTGGGAGAATTTGCGCCTCCTTTTTCCAAAATTATGGGCTGTGTGCAGGTAGGGTCTCGGCTTTAAGAGAGAAAGCTACCTTGAGGCGACATGGTAAAGATCTGAATAAAAGCTCTGGCTGTCACCTTATCTTTTTGGGCTTCTAGTACCAGGAAATCAGTATGCAAAGTTAGGAGTTACGGGGGCCAAGAGGCATACATATAGCATTGAGATGACCCACAGGGGCATTCATGGTATTCCTGTTCCCAGGAATAACTGCAGATGGGCAAGTAGTGTCGCCTGAAGAGGACATAGAAACCATGGGCTTGGGACTCTCAGGGATGGGGATCTAGGTCACTGCACCAGACAAGTCAGCTAAAGGATCAGAGAGCCTCCTCCTCTTGTTGGTTTTTCTAGAAATAGTGAAAAATCATATGAAGCAAGGTTACTAGGAGAAATCCATACACATGAGCAGAGGCAGGGGTAGTTATATGATATCCCATTCGATCCCTTTTGCCATAAATGCCCTTATCCACAAGCTGGTGAGAGTATGGACTAGGAGTGGCTCACACGGAACTGTAGTTAATTCTCTCAGATGAGGGAGAGGACCAGCCTGGGGATTTGTACTCTCCATCCTACATCCCGGCAAGGGTTGTCCAAAAGTAGTGTTAAGTGTATAGGGGCACAAAGACCTAAACCCTCTGCCTCCAAGAGGAGCAGGTATGTGACCCAGTCCATACTTGTCAAAAGTGGGGTCATAGAATGTAAGGCTGGTATTGACCTGAAACTGCATTTTGTCTTAGCCATTTTTACTGCTTTACCCTGTTTCCCTCACTTTCTCATTGATTTCTCCAAGGAGCACTTCCTTATACATCACGTGCAAGAATACATTTTATTTTCTGATTTTTAAAGAAAAAATGCAATGTAAGAATCACATTTGGGGATGGTCTCCCTTAAACATAGCCCCCATTAAGGAAACAGATCCTAATCTGGTGAGCTATGTTACTTGTGGCAGTGTGTCCTGTACTTCAGGATATATGGCATTTTAAAAATAGGAGACAACTATTCTAAAACCAAGTGTGCCAAAACTGTATAAACAGCATCCTGTCAAAATATTCAGTGGTTCAGGGGAGAGTAAGTTCAGGATTTGACCTGTCACCCTGTGACTATTCATATCATACGGAAATGTTTGAAGGCACTGTTACTGAGACTTGGAACACTGGTGTTTAGTTGACCTCAGGGTCAGACCCCAAAAGAGAGGCTTGAGACGAAGTAGTTTGTCTGGGAGGTGACCCCAAGTGGTGTTCTAGGGAAACTGATGTGATCCAGGGAAGGGTGGCAGCCAATCCAGGTTGATTTCAAGAGCAGATGACTCCTGTGGGCCTCTGGGGTTTGTGCAGTGCTGCTGAGACTCTCTGGTCTCACATGTCCTACTCGAGGGGAAAGAGGCTAGAGTACTTACCCACCAAGTACTGCCCACTGGTTGAGGACTTCTCCCAGAGACTTCCTTCCCTGCTCTGTCCTTTGCGATCTGCTCCTTCATGTAGACTGAGCCCTCTGCAGAGAGTTCCAGGTGCTTGCTGCAAGCCACCATCCTATACTGTTAGCGTGGGAAGTGCTGAGGTGATAGAAGTGAAAATCCTGAAATCACCTGCTATGATCTCCTCATTGTGCAGAGAATAGTAGAAGACCTGACAGCTAAGGGTGACCATCGAAGAAGGAAAAAGAACGAGACACGATTTCTTATATTTGTATGCTGGGAAAGTTAAGATTTATTTCACATATAGAAACATCTCCATATCAGAAAATCTGGCAGTAAACAGATATATCAATTAGGATGACATGTTAACAGATATCAGAGAAAATTCAACCTTTGTATTGATTTGGGATGGAGATAGTAACAAGGAGGAGGGAGGGTGGCAGAGGAGGGTATATTCAGAAGCCAACTAAGTTGAAAATCACTGGGAACTGAGGTTTTACAGTTGGCCTCACATGATTCAGCTCCCAGTTGGACGACATGAAGGAGATTGGCTGATGAAAACAGCAGGGTGCAGGTCAGGGCACTCAGCAGCAGCAAGAGCCACTAGAGCAGGTTGGGTGGTGGCAGGGGGTCTAGCAACAGCTGGGGCGGCAGCAGCTGGACACACAGCAGGTGGGGCGGCAGCAGGTGGTCCGGCAGCAGGTGGTCTGGCAGCAGGTGGGGCGGCAGCAAGGCTGGCAGCAGCTGGAGCCACAGCAATTCGAGCCACAGCCGCTGGAGCCCCCACAGCAGGGGCGGCAGCAGCTGGACACACAGCAGGTGGGGCGGCAGCAGGTGGTCCGGCAGCAGGTGGTCTGGCAGCAGGTGGGGCGGCAGCAAGGCTGGCAGCAGCTGGAGCCACAGCAGCTGGAACCCCCACAGCAGGGCTGGCAGCAGCTAGAGATGCAGCAGCTGGGCCTGCAGCAGCTGGAGCCACAGCAATTAGAGCCACAGCCGCTGGAACCCCCACAGCAGGGGCGACAGCAGCTGGACACACAGCAGGTGGGGCGGCAGCAGGTGGTCCTGCAGCAGGTGGTCTGGCAGCAGGTGGGGCGGCAGCAAGGCTGGCAGCAGCTGGAGCCACAGCAGCTAGAACCCCCACAGCAGGGCTGGCAGCAGCTAGAGATGCAGCAGCTGGGGCGGCAGCAGCTGGACACACAGCAGGTGGGGCGGCAGCAGGTGGTCCGGCAGCAGGTGGTCTGGCAGCAGGTGGGGCGGCAGCAGGGCTGGCAGCAGCTGGAGCCACAGCAATTAGAGCCACAGCAGCTGGAACCCCCACAGCAGGGGCGGCAGCAGCTGGACACACAGCAGGTGGGGCGGCAGCAGGTGGTCCTGCAGCAGGTGGTCCTGCAGCAGGTGGGGTGGCAGCAAGGCTGGCAGCAGCTGGAGCCACAGCAGCTGGAACCCCCACAGCAAGGCTGGCAGCAGCTAGAGATGCAGCAGCTGGGCCTGCAGCAGCTGGAACCGCAGCAGCTGGAACCCCCACAGCAGGGGCGGCAGCAGCTGGAACCACAGCAGCTGGGGCGGCAGCAAGTGGTCCTGCAGCAGGTGGTCTGGCAGCAGGTGGGGCGGCAGCAAGGCTGGCAGCAGCTGGAGCCACAGCAGCTGGAGCCACAACAGGAGTTGACCATGGTGTCAGAGGGTGGAGGTTCTGGGCTGGTTTCCAGGAGAGTGAGGGGCTGGACTTTGGAAGTCTCCTTGTGCCCTGGCCTCTTATATACTGCTCGTACCGGGTGATTTGTCAACACCTCTTCCTTGTTTTTGTTTACCTAATATTTAAGTAATTATGATATTTCACAGTAATGTTTGTCTTTGTAATGGTTTAAACTTGAGGGGAACAAAATTTTCTTTTCTAAATGTGATAAATTCTGTCTGGTCTGCTTTTCCTTTTGACTTCTACCCACTGGCATCTTCTGGACCACTCTGTCCTCATCTTTCTCCCAGAGGGCTTCATGTGATAGGTGGCACCTGCAATTACATCTTTCTGTCCCCTGCTACATCCCCTAGCAGGATGGGATGAAGACAGTCCTGGTTTTGGTTGTGCATTTCTGCCAGTAATCACATCTGCAGAGGATGGAGGTGGCATGGGACAAGAGGAAAAGTTCCAATTTTATGGGTCATTGTTGATCAATGAGGAAGGGAGCAGCTGCCAATGAGCATGTGATGTTGCTGACCTCTGCCACTGGAATGGGTTTTCTTGGATGTTTCTAACTTTGGATCATGTTCTCTACTCTAAAATGTAGACAACTACTTGTATGGTTCCAGTCACTGCCATGATTTGTAGTTCATTGAGTGTTTACATTTTCATCATATCTTTTTGTGTTGCATTTTTCTGTATGGTCTTTGGATTCTGGAAGACATAGCCTCTTCTTTATTCTTGCCTCATTCTTAACTGAAAATATTCTTCAATGGGACAAAAAGAATTGAGAATGTGCTTCTCCTCAGAACTTACCTCATAGGTAATCCTAGTGCACATTTGTTGGATCCATGTGAAATGTGATTAGTCAAATCAAATTCATTTTGCTACTATTTTGAATTATTGTCCATTTAGTGAGAGTCCAGTGCATTCAGATGATGCACCAAGTCATCTGAAGGGCTTATTAGAAATGGTTGGGACAGGGGCGCCTGGGTGGCGCAGTCGGTTAAGCATCCGACTTCAGCCAGGTCACGATCTCACGGTCCGTGAGTTCGAGCCCCGCGTCAGGCTCTGGGCTGATGGCTCGGAGCCTGGAGCCTGTTTCCGATTCTGTGTCTCCCTCTCTCTCTGCCCCTCCCCCGTTCATGCTCTGTCTCTCTCTGTCCCAAAAATAAATAAATGTTGAAAAAAAAATTTAAAAAAAAGAAATGGTTGGGACAAATTCCAGAGGTTCTGAATACAGGGGGATTCTGAGGTTTAGCATTTCTAACCAATCCAAGTGATGTTGATGCTAAAGGCCCAAGGATGACACTTAGAGACCTACCTCTTTTTTCTGTTCATTCAAGCTTTGAGGAACCTCTATCAAGTCCCTGCCTTTTATAAAGGAGATTGGTTTGAGTGGATAATCCGAGATACACACGTTGCCAGTATTGGCGTTGTAAGCATGAGTTAGGGTCTCCTCCCCAGAAACCTACAGACTACTGAAAAACCCTCACCCACCCACACAAATACAAATAACTGTATATAATATGGAAAGAAACATCGAAGGAGTTCACAGTACTGTAATCTAAGTAAAAGATATTGTATTTAAGCAAATCAGCTGAGTTTGTAAAGACATAGACTTATTCATATAATTAATTTAGTCTTATTTACCTTTAATGTTTTATTTCATAATTTAGGTGGAATTTACACAATTGAAATTCATAAATCCATAGTCATCCATAGTGATGAGTTTTGATACACAGTAGCAGGTCCGTGTAATTCCCACATCTATCAAATGAACATTTCCATTTTACCAGAAAGTCCTTTAGTGAAGTCCCCACTACCATGGAGGCATCACTGTTTTAATATGTTTTGCACCATGGATTTGTTTTGATCTAGACCATAAGATAATATGTAGTACATATATAATTACTATAGTATATATTATATATAATACTCTTCTGTTTGGCCCTGTTAACTTGTCTTATGTCTGTGAGAATCACTTAACGTCGATACATATATCTCTACTTTTTTCTGTGCTCTGCTAGACAAGTAACAAGATTTATCTTAACTATTACCAATTAATTTCATGGTAGGGTAACCAGGCATTCCTTAAAATCATCTTTCTTTTTTTTTAACTCTAGTATTTTATTTTATAACGTTTTAAAATTTTTATTTAAATCTAAGTTAGCATATAGTGTAATAATGGTTTGGGGAGTAGAATTTAATGATTCATCACTTACATATAACACCCAGTGTTCATCCCAACAAGTGCTTTCCTTAATAACCATCACCCATCTAACCCATCCCCTTACCCAACACCCCTCCAGCAACCCTCAGTTTGTTCTCTGTATTTAAGTGTCTCTCACGTTTGCCTCCCCCTCTGTTTTTATCCTATTTTCCCTTCCCTTTTCCATGTTTTTCTGTTTTGTTTCTTAAATTCCACATATGAATGAAATCATACGGTATTTATCTTTCTCTCACTGACTTATTTTGCTTAGCACAAAACACTCTATAGTCTCATCCACATTGTTGCAAATGGCAAGATTTCATTTTTTTTTTTAATTTTTTTTAACGTTTATTTATTTTTTTGGGACAGAGAGAGACAGAGCATGAACGGGGGAGGGGCAGAGAGAGAGGGAGACACAGAATCAGAAACAGGCTCCAGGCTCCGAGCCATCAGCCCAGAGCCCGACGCGGGGCTCGAACTCACGGACCTTGAGATCGTGACCTGGCTGAAGTCGGACGCTTAACCGACTGCGCCACCCAGGCGCCCCAAGATTTCATTTTTTTTTGATCACCAAGTAATAATCCATTGTATATATATACCTTATCTTCTTTATCCATTCGTCAGTCAGTGGACATTTGGACTCTTTCCATAATTTGGAAATCTCTGTTTTTAATTTTCTGAGGAACCTCCATACTGTTTCCCAGAGTGGCTGTACCAGTTTGCAGTCCCACCAGCAGCGCAAAAGTGTTCCCCTTCTCCACATCCTCTCCATCATCTGTTGTTTCCTGAGTTGTTAATTTTTGCCATTCTGACAGGTGTGAGATGGTATCTCATTGTGGTTTTGATTTGTATTTCCCTGATGAGGAGTGATGTCGAGCATCTTTCCTTGTGTCTGTTAGCCATCAGGAAGTGTCTGTTCATGTCTGTTGCCTGTTTCTTCCCTGGATTACTTGTTTTTTTTTTAGGTGTTGATTTTGATAAGTTCTTTATAGATTTTGGATACTAACCCCTTATCCGATAGGTCATTTGTAGATATCTTCTCCCATTCTGTCAGTTGCCGTTTAGTTTTGTCGATTGTTTCTTTTGCGGTGCAGAAGCTTTTTATCTTGATGCGGTCCCAATAGTTCACTTTTGCTTTTGTTTCCCTTGCATGCGGAGACACGTCCAGTAAGAAGTTGCTGTGGCCAAGGTCAAAGAGGTGCTGCTTGTTTTCTCCTCTAGGATTTTGTTGGTTTCCTGTCTTACTTTTAGGTCTTTCATCCTTTTTGAGTTTATTTTTGTGTATGATGTAAGAAAAGGGTAAGTTCATATTTCATTTTAAATCTTAAACAGAATGTGCATTTTAGTCCACCCCAAAATTTAAAAAACTCTTTCATATTATATAAAATGCACATATGCTGAAAAGCAGATGAACTATGCATGCATGATTTAAAAATAGTTATGAAGTAAACATCTATATACCCAAAACTTGAGTCAAGGAATAGAACATTGTTACTCCTAAGAAAGCTCTTGATATGTCTCTTCTTGTACACAATCCTTTTCCCACCCTACAGATGATTACTGTACTCACTTTTCAAGTAACCTTTAATGTATTTTTTCACAGTTTTATTACCTGGGTATTCACATCTAAAAATATAGTTTCATTTTACATGTTGCTGAATTTAAAAAAATTTTTTAACATTTATTTATTTATTTTTTTGAGAGACAGAGAGAGAGAGACAGAGTGTGAGTAGGGGAGGGGGAGAGAGAGAGAGGGGCACAGAATCTGAAGCAGGCTCCAGGCTCTGGGCTGTCAGCACAGAGCATGATGAGGGGCTTGAACCCACGAACTGTGAGATCATTACCTGAGCTGAATTCAGACGCTTAACTCACTGAGCACCCAGATGCCCCCCTGAATTTTTATATGAAGAAATTCTTAGTGTAAATGTGTTTTGATTCTTTCACTCAATATTATATAAGAGTTTTGGTAGGCAGCTTCCAAGAAGGCCCAAAGATTTACACCTCTTGGTGTTCATGGTCTCATGTAATTCCTTCTCCTTGAGTAACTTGCTTCTAAATCACAGGATATGACAACATCAAGTGATTAAGTTACAAAAGGTTGTGATTTTCATTTTTTAATGTTTTTATTTATTATTGAGAGAGAGAGAGAGTACACACAAGTGGGGGTGGGGGGCAGAGATAGAGGGAGACCATAGAATCTGAAGCAGGCTCCAGGCTCTGAGCCATCAGCACAGAGCCCAACATGGGGCTCGAACTCATGAGTAGTGAAATCATGACCCAAGCCAAAGTCAGACGCCTAACTACTGAGCCACCCATGAGTCCTGTGATTTTCATTTTAATGCCAACTCTTTCTCTCTCTCTCACTGGCTTTGATGAAGCCAGGTCCTATGTGGGAGAGATCCTTGCAGCAAAGAACTGAGCATAGTCTCATTCAACAACCAGCAAGGAAGTGAGGTCCTCCCTCCTGTGGAGTGCAAGGAATTGAATCCTGCCAATGACCATATAAGTGAGCTTGGAAGTGGATTCTTCCCCAGTCGCATCCTCAAATGACACCCCAGTGCCAGCCAGCACCTTGAGTGCAACCTAGTGAACCTCTATGAATTGGAGAGTCTAGGTGGGCTCTGCCTGGTTTTTGATCCATGGAAATGAGATAACAAATGAGAGTCATTTTAAGCTGCTAAATTTTGAGGTAATGTTACATAACAGTAGGTAACCAGTATAGATTTATCTATGGCCACAGCACACTCGGGTGAGAAGGGAGGGATTGAAGGTGCAGAGAAGTAGAAATGCTCAAATAAGGTTATAAAGTCACAAAGCCTAACTGGCTATGTTCCCTTGGAGAGATCAGGAG